CTGAATTTTGATTTTTTTTAAATGTGACCCCCAGTATACAAATTAAAGACGTAGTCCTACGTCAAAAGAACTTAAATTTAATGTTTTTTTTTCTGTGTGCATACACTTATAAAATAAATCACATAACCAGTGGAAAATATCCATGTGAATCTCACATAACTTTCATGTGGTCGCATTATTGGAAATTGCCCCACTAAATCACATAAACGTTATGTGTCCAATAAAATCTATATGATTTCTCATATAGAATTTCTTATGCTATGTGATATTCAGATAAAAATCATTATTTTTGTTATTGGACAAATACTATGTGCGTTCCTAATAGAAGTAGAGTCCTTTTTGATTGGGTCGTATGTAACAAATGTAAATGGCATTTTAATGCTACACTGAAAAAAGTTTTCATATAGTTTCCATTGGGAACGCGCATTAGACTGATGCAAAATTTGACTTTTTCGCTCCACAGTGCTTAAATGGTTTCAAATCGGGTCGTGATTAGCCTCCAAAAGTTACAACTCATTTGGTTAGAAACAGACTTCGCACAAACCATTTGAAGTTTACATGTAAATTACTATGGGAAATCTCAACTTTTTGTTCATTGCCTTCTAGTCTTTTTCCATATTGAGCTGCAAAACAGCTCGATAGCTATTCTTATAGAAAATTTTCTCAGCTACAACTTTGCTGAAGATCGTTTCTATGTAAAACGAGACAGAAAATAGTTATTAATTATTTAAGAGATTGGTAAACTTATGACATGATCAAGCAGCTGCTCTGTAGGCAACACTGTATTTTGCAGTGTGACATAGTAGCCATAATTTTTGTGTCCTATTCAACGCCCCAGAAACACCAATGTTGCCTGCTGTGCAGTTGATTGAGCATGATCATAAGACATTAGTGCATTGAACCATTAATAACTTTCGATCCTTGCATTTAATCAAAAAGTGGTCTTGAGCAAGTTGTAGCTGGGAAAATTTCCTACAAGTAAAGTTGAAAGCTTTTGAGGCAGACCGATATGGTGAATTATTAGATAGACATGAACAAAAATCTTGGTTTTACCATAGTAATTCCCATACAAACTTCAAATGGTTTGTGCCATCTCAGTTTCTCACCAAATGGGTTCAAATTTTGAGAGGTTGGTCAGGATCCGATTTGGAATCGTTTAAGTATTGTGGAGCGAAAATTTCAAAATTTGCATCACTCTAACGCGCATGATATTTTTCCAATAACAAAATTAATGATTTTTATCTGAAATTCAAATAACGTTCATACGATCACATGAATTGTATATGACAAATCATATAAACTTCATTGGACACATAAGGTTCATGTGATTTTGTGATGCGATTCCCAATTATGAGATCACATGAAAGTTAAGTGAAATTCTAATGGATATTTTCCATTGGAAATGTGATTTATTTTTTGAGTGTACCAGACACTACGCTGCTTACTCTTACTATACACGGTGTTTCGTGTAAACCCATTAACAGTTGTCTAAAAATGGGGGAATTTTTAAATCATAAAATGGGTGTAAATACCCATTTAAAGAATCACTTCACGGTTGAATAATGGGTATATTTTTAACCCACTAATGGGTGAAAAAACACTTCGAAATTTCATCGTCTCCTTTCCGTCACCGATTCATTGGGAATGCAAACATATTTAGCAAAAATAGGCGATCTCCGGAAAATGTTAGAATCCGAAACGTTGGAGAGGCTTACGGATAAGTCAATACAAATAATCCAATATGGTATTATAATATTTCGTGTAAAATTTGAGAGGAACACCTGCATTTGTTCTCAATGTATTAGAAAGTTTTTTACATCAATGAGCGCTTGCATCCTCCATTTGTAAAAATGGGTATATTTTCACCCATTTTACGATAAACACAATTTAATAAAATGGGTGTAAAAACACCCATTTATTGACAGATCACCCATTTACCCATTTATGAGTAAACCATAGTTTACCCATTAAATGAGGAGGGGCACTTTTAGCGGAAATGGGTATTTTTATACCCATTAATGGGTTTTCGCGAAACACCGTGTAGGTAAAATTTGCTCCCGCTACCTCGTTTCTGTTTCATTTTATCGTCAAAAAACTATTCGTCGTATGTGCCAACTGATCAAAACATAGCTCAATTTTACATACGACACCTAATTTCTATGGGGGTGTCAATCGTCATATGTAACAAATCTCACAGAAGCGTAAAAACTGTACATAAAACCTGTTGTTTTTTCCTAATAAAATTGCAAATTTTGCAAATATTCAATGTTAAACCACAGACCAACAGACATAACACATTGAAAATTTCTCACTGTAAAACATCGTTGCTAAAACATTACCGCCATCTGTTGAGTATAGTGTGGTGGGTAGTATGCTGAACAGATGGCGGTAGTGTGTAAACGTCAAACGCAAGGGAATTGACTATGTGCGCCACAGGTGGCAGTACTACCAACTACGATACTTTTAAATTGACCGTTAAATGCTTGTTCGATGAACAACTTGCGACTGTTATGTCTGTTTGTCTGTGGTTAAACGGTTGTGGGTGGTCTATAAAAAGATAACTACGTTTTTTGTGAGTAATTACTCATAATAATACATTTTTAAACCGCTAAAAAGCGCACGGTCGAATGTAAAAACACGGCATGCGAAAGGTTTTATAATATTGATTGGTTAAAAAACGTTTGATTTTCAACAGATACGCTATCAATACCTTACTCAGTTGATAGCAACACTCTTGAGATGTTAGTGAATGGAAATTTTGAAAGAATTATCCTTCTCATTGAAAATAGAAACAATTTTTTGTTCACCAAAACAAAACACCCCGTCTCTCTAGTTGACATAAATGTTACATACGACCCAATCAAAAAAGACTCCAGTATTCCAAGCGAATTCTACACTCAAAATAATCTTCACGTCAATTCTACGTTAAAATATACATAGATTTTTCCGAAGCACTTTTCACATATAGACGTTACGTGATTCTCATAGAAGCACTCATATCAGTGAGCTTCAACGTCACTGGATTATCACATAGAAGTTACGTGATTATTCCAGTACAGCTCATAGTGGTTTTTAATGATGTTAAATCTGCTACGATTTAAATAAAATGTATTCTTGATTTAGCATAAGGCATAGATCTACTAAATACTAAAAGTAGTATTATTTTATGCATATGCCTTTATTTTGTCATCAAATATATACATCGGTAACAAAAACATATTGAAATTAGATTCGATCGGGCCATGGATCAGGAACGGGAAAACATTCATGTAATTCAAATGCCTATCCTGCACTTGATCTTACACCATGAATGATGCTGTCACACTAAAAAAGAAACAGACTTAATTATTGTCTATGTAAATGTTTAATTTATTAAACTTACCACATTAAATTGTCCCACAAAAAAGTTACATCTAAAATAATCTGAATTTACACTGGCATGAAATATGCCCACTGAACTAGTGTCATATTGAGTGTTACTCATTTATTTTACGTGAAACGCACATAGAATCTATGTATGGGCAAATCACGTAAACTTCATTAAAAAATGTAGCGGTTTCCAATGGAATTTCCCCTCATATAAAAATGGTATCATGTAGATTCTACTTGGGTCATGTAAAGTTGACGGCAAACCAAAAAGAGAAACTCTACGTGATTTTTCACGTACCTAACTATAACGTGTCGATTATTTTGAGTGTAGGAAAATTATGAAGACAAATTAATTAAATTATTGTTATTAAGAATGCAAAGATAAATCAACAGTGAATTTCAAGAGTTTTCTGCAAGGAATTTCTGAAGAGTTTTGTACATAATTCCGAGGCTGTTATGAAGAAAATGATTATGAACGGCATTCCCTAGAAATTTTCTCCAGTCTATAGACCTATAGGACTTCTGTGCCGAACACTTTAGGAATTGATGTCAATTGGTCATTACTAACTATGCAAGCAAATCAACCATCGGCGGTGAAGTCTTCTTACCCGATGAACGAGCCTTGAATTTATAGAAATCATCGAGATAAATCATTGTTTACAAAAGCTGTTAGGCCCTAATTCCAGCTCTATCTTGAAATTATTATTGTTTAGTGCTTCCATTTATTAACGTCCTTTTAAACGAACCACCTTGAAGAGGTGGAAAAAGTTCATTCAGGACGGCCAAGTCGTAACCAGCACCCAGCCGGTTAGCATCGCCAGGTAGCGATAATCACAGGCTACTTAGAGTTGGCTCTGTCATCGTCATCACGGGCACTACCGATTTATTGACAATAGTACATTAGTGACAACGATGATCCCCCGTTCTTGTTCGCATTACCGACGGCAAATATCACCGTAAGCAACCCCACCGGGCACCGCGTGGAGGTAAGAATCGGAGTTCAGGTGCACAGTGGTCGCGAATCGCCGGTCAGGGCAGAACCCAACAACCATTGATAGGCGTTCTTATGCACCTGCTTTACCTGGCTATTGTTGAGTGTTTCTTTTGTTATAAGTATCAAATGTTTGCCCCTTTGAAACCAGGCTTTTTTTTTCAAGTACGTCGAAAAAAACAATGACTGAACTCTTTTCTCCCTTTAAAACATGTATCGTTTGAGTAAAAACAATCCGCATCGATTAACACGCACTACCCAAAAGAAAAAAAAAACATCCATTGTCAATTCGACAAACAACAAACTGAAACGAGCGAAACAAAGAAAACAAACGAGAATCGGCCACGTGATATCTATTTCCGTAGAGAAACCCCGAGAAAAATATCTAAGAGACTCATTCTTTCTTCGAATATAATAAGTGATAAGGTGAACACAAGAAACTTTAAAAACAAACTTCATTGTTTATGAATATTAGAATAAATCTTATAGCTAATGTTTACTACTAAGAAAAGGAAGCTCATATAAGGAATCTTCAAATTAATAGCGATTAAGCACTAAAAATGATGATGACGATGGAATAAATGGTTGAATCCCGAAATCAAACCCGAACCCAAGGCTTTCTCTGATTGATAGAAACAAATCCGAAAATCCTTCTGGATAAGTTAGGTTTATTATTGATGTAATCGCTGTTGATGGCGATTTTTCTTAAAGTGCGCTAATATATGCTCAGTGCAACTTTTCTGTATTTCAAATTCACTCCATATGCGACGGAATATCTACATCGAAGAGTGGAAAGTATTTACCAAATGACCCTACCTCTAAAGTAGTCGTACGTCGTAATTGAGCTCAACCTTGCACCATGACCGTTGTTCGATTGAACAGGTCCATGGTGAGGGTGCTTAGGAAGGCCGGTAGTGAGCCATGCGTTCCCAGGTGAGTTGTTACCATGTCGGAAATCGATTCGCTGTACGCCGTCTCCAGCATGTTGAGGACCGTGCCGGATTCGTTCAACCGGAAGTTGAGGTACTCTTCCTCGCTTTCGGCGTACATGCTGGAAATCCGATAGTTGGTGTTGCCGACCCGATCGACGCGATAGCCGAATAGCATGTAGCATACCTCACGGAACTCATTGCTGGCGGATTTGTAGATTTCCTTGATGTGCTGATTCTTCGCTTCAAGCGACTGGACTTGCGCTTTTAGATTGTTCACTTCCATCACGTTCATCGTCATGTTGGTGTCGTTAAGACGCATCGTGAGCTCCTCGTTTCCTTCCTCGAGCCTTCGATTGCGCATCTTGAGCCGTTCGATTTCCGCTTGGAGTTTTTCTATTTCATTCCTGTGCGCTTCGTAAGCCTCGTTAGCGGGGCTGTCGGTATACTGAACCACCTTGTAGCGATCCCGGTTGATTTCCGCTCGGAGGGTGACATTTTCCAACTCAAGTTCCAGTTCGTCCTTGCGCCTGTTCAATCTTTCATTGTCCAATCGGAGCGAATCGATCTCTCGACGAAGCTTTTCGTACTGTTCGCTGGTTAGAGCCGAGTCCATACCTAGGTGGAACGTAAATATTTAGGTACAAACAGTTTGATGTGAAAACGACAGAATACTCACTCATATCGGGCATGCATTTGGACGATTGCAGTTCACCTTCCAGTTTGGAGTTGAGCTCGCGATATCCGACCAACTGCTTTTCCAACATTTCAATTCGAGTGCGCATCTGAACTTCCTGATTGCTCACGTTAGTTGGGTTGACTGAGTGTAAAAACGTAAATAATTAATCATTTCACCGATTGAATTAACGCAAATCTTCAACTTACTTGTCAAATCCTTCTCATAGCTGTCCAACAGTTGCTTCCAGCAGTCTCTCTCGCCAACTACCAGATGCAGCTTCTTCTGCACTCGATGCAATATTGTCTGATGATGCTTCAGCGAACGTTTAAGGTCTTCCAGCTGTTTTTGGAGCTGTCCATTCTCCCCCTTCGTCTCGTCAATCGCAGCCTGAATCTGATTCTTTTCGTTTTTGACCGAGGATTTCTCGCTAGTTAAAATTACATCCTTCTGCAAAATTTGCTCGATGTGAGATCGCAACACAATCGGAGTACATGCCGACTTCTTGGGGCAAAAATCAACCGCCAGCTTGCGCCAGTCTGCCAGTTCCTGCTCCACTTCCTTTACCTTAACGGTCAAAGCAGCGGCATCCACTTCGTTCTTCTCGAAATTCTCCAACCGACTTTTCAAACTGGCCACCTGCTCTTCCAGCAACATTTTGTTACCAATTATGCCATGCAGATTTTTCGATTCCTCCTTCAAACGAACGTTCTCCTTCTCCAACTCAGCGTAGTTCGCCAAACGAGAAGTGCTCACCTTCGACAGGTTTTTCCAATCTTCATAACTGCCGATCTCATATTCCAACGATTTGATTTTGGATTCGGTTTCACAAAGCCTTTCCTTAACCTCATCCAGCTCTTTGCTGGTAGCATCAAACGAATTCGCCTTCGACTGCAGCGTTTCAGTTAGCTCCTTATAAGTATCTAACTCTTCTTGGGTCATCGATAGTTGATCTTCAAGATCCAGCATTTGATGGTTTAAATCCCGCACCTCCGAATGGAGCTCTCCCGTCTCAAAGTTGTACTTCTGTTCCAAATCCTTCAAAGCCCGTCTAAGCTCATACAACTGGTCGTCACTGGACTGCTTGAGAATGTTAAACTGATTCTTCGTCTTAACCAGCTCTTCTTTCGCTGACTGCTCACGTTTACGAACAGCCGACAGATGCTTCTCAAGGTCAGACACTTTCTTCACGCTGTGACTCAGCTCCTTCTCCAAGGATGAAATTTTGTGCTGATTCTTAAGCTGCGACGTCGCCATCTCCGTGTTCTGGTGTTCGATCTCTTTCTTCAGCATCGTTACCTACGGAGAAGATTGTGTTTAATGGAAACGCACCCGAAATAATCAAAACAAAAAGTTACCCTGGACCGCGCTTCAATCAGATCCGCCTTCATCCGCCGCGTCTCCCAGGGACTCTGCACTGCCATCGAGCAATGCGACCCCGTCAACGACTCCTGACTTGCGTTATCCTCCCCGGTGGAATGACTCACATCCATTGAGATATCATTCATTTCGTACAGTTTACGCTTCTTCCGACCTGAACACAAAAAATAAACATTAGGTGGTTCTAACCTCACCCATCCAGACTCTCCCAAGCAGCTTCAGATTCGTTACTTACTTATCTCGAAAGATGCGTTCATGTAATCGAAACTCAGCCGCTTTGGGATGGTGCCAGAAGTCAGACTATTGTCGGCATTTTCACCGGGACCGGTGTTTTCGTTGCGATTGTGCTCCATCGCTTTTCCGTGGATGGATCCTCTCTTTCGTTGAAAGCTGTTATGAAGCTAACTCCCGAATCAACCGACAAATGCCGCACTACTTTTCTGATCGGAATTCGACTAAACACAATTCTGCCAGGGAATTTCCACTCAATGCCCAATGGATGCAGTGTGGATCACTGAGAAATATTCACAATAGATCGGTTTTATACGATTTTTAGGGCTAAAGTCCCGAAAGAAACAAGTAAAATTCGCGTTCCAAGCCAGGATCGGTGCAAGTTTTGACGTTTCAACTTCTACAATCGTTGTCTTTTTTTTTGTTTTGGCACCATAACTTGCAGGGGTGCACTGATATGGCAAACCAATCTTGCGTACAAGTTTTATAGCACAGATTGACTCGCTATAAAGTTCATGCGAAACTGCACACTCAAAAATATTACAAAACGAATCAAAAACGAAACGAATATAGTTGAGTCGGTGTATAATGAGTCACGCCAAGAGAAAAACAGTTGAACTCGCATCACGGTTTTCGAAAGATTCCCTTTCATTTAACTTGGCAACAGAGGACTTCTACATCAACTTCAAATGACTTCTAGCGAGAAAAAATAATAACGGCTGTAGTAAATCATTAGGTCGTATGAATAAAAGCGTTTACTTTACTTTTCCCGTAAGAAAAGCACGGGAAAGTAAAGTAAACTCTTTTTATTCATACGGCCCATTATATCAGTAATTTTGTCAAATTATCTTAACAAAAAATATTAGAAATTATCATTACCGATCATTACCAAACGTATCCCATGACAATTGAATGCTCTCTGCGTGTTTATTATCATTTCTTCGATTATATTTTATATTTTATTGCAATACCTTTCGTGGACCTTTCATAGCATCGTAATGTTTGTTTACTTTGCACGATAAGTAGCTGGTTTGACAGTTCGATAGGTAGACTTGGCTTCACTCTTGGCGTGACTCATTATACACCGACTCTAGAATATAGATTAAATTTTATGCATTTTAAGGTTTTTCAAAATTTATTCATTGGTTCGATTAAAATTTTCGTCAAAATTATACTAAGTCCGAATAACGGAGTGGAATTCGATCAGTGTTTACTAAAACGATAGGAAAAACAACATCTGGATTCTCTTCGGAGCTTCGTGCTGGTGAAGAGCTTCGTCCCAACGGATTTCTACATGGTGGTATAACTGCGAACTGGCGGACCCCTCAGGTGCGGGTAGGTCTGCTGCAACTCTTCATACTGCATTGTTTGACTTGGAAGTTGAAGCTCGTGCACTGTCCGAACGTTGCTGAGTTTGAACTTCTCTCTAACGCTAGAAATAACCACGGTCACACGTTGAGATCCTTTCTCCTCCCTCGAAATATTTCCGGTCCAACTCAAACAAAAGTTGTCGGTTGGCCCCGTGATACCCAGCGCCGATGCAATACTGGATTCAAGGAGGGTAGACGACGAACCATCATCCAGAAAAGCATAGGTGTTGATTTGCTGACCGTTACCATGGATAGTCACGGGTAAATATCGAAACAAAGAGTATGCAACCGAAGAGTGGAGATTTTGGCGCACAACGTTATTCGTAGACCGCGACGAGCTTCCTGCTTCCACTCTGTTTTGCGAGGGATTCCTAGTTGAATGCAGTAGCTTGTGATGATGAACTCTGCATCCATCGACGCCGCACTCCTTGTTGGAACGGCAGGGCCACTTCCGATGTGGTATGAGACAGCTTCTGCACAAATTCTTTTGTTTGATCGCCTTCCATCTCCCATCCAGATCGAGTCCCTTAAACTGTACGCAGTTCACGATTTCATGAATCGCACAGGCACAGTACGTGCAGGTCTTCTTTATCGACTCCACTGACGGCTTCTTGTCGTAGTCCACTGCTTGTCCAGTTTTCGTTTCCTCGGAGTGTACGTACAGCTTCGGTTTTTCCTTCCCCGGTTTGATGGATCTCGCGTTCATGGTGAGAGCATCTATTGGAAGCGTAACGTCCGAAGCCATCACCACTAGTTCGGACATGAAAGCGCTGAAGGTCGCTAGGTTGACATAAGCGCATCTGCTCTTGTAATAGGACCACTGCATTTTGAGCTGAGATGGCAGTTTCTCTATTAGCTCATGAAGCAGTGTCGGATTCCACAGATGGTCATGAAGATTGGCGATAGACATATGGTCCACAACGTTTTGCACCACGAGACCGAAGGTTATCTGTGACTGCAAGTTATCGGTCTTCGGAGAGGGAACTGAACGCAATTTTTGGAGGAGAGAATGTATCAGAATTTCCGGTCGACCATACAACCTCCGTAATATATAAATTACAGAGGGTACCGACTGTGGCATCAGCAATCGGCTTTTAACTGCTTCCAATGCATTCCCCTTCAAACAGCGCTGCAATCGCGCCAAGTTTTCGGAGTCAGTGTACCCGCATGTTTCCGTAGAGTTACAAAACGAGCTATAGAACAGCGGCCAATCTTGAGGATCTCCTGAAAAGTTCGGCAACTCTCGTGGCATCACCTGTCTCGCTGCCAGTTGTCCACTAGATGGCCCACTTCTAGCTGGATCGACAAGATGCTGATGTTGTGGATGTTGCGGTTGAGATGGTGGTTGTTGGCTAAACCAGGGAATGCGGGAATCTCTTGAGCCCGCCGCTGATTGCGTCACCGGAATCTCGAACTGAAGTGGATCAACGATGTATGCAGGTGGCACCGTTCCATTAGAAGTTACTGGGCCCCCCATTGTTGACAAACGTTCTTTCACGCTGCGATGGAACTGGAAGGTGACTTACATTTCCCGATTGTATCCCACCGACATCCGAATTGGCCAGATTGTTATTGATCCACGTTGATTGACAACCGGAACTTAACACTGGTCGGGAGTGTACCAGTGGTACTGATGAGACGGGATTCTGGGATGACCCTTGACCCCCGGTGACTAATGACGTTCTTGGATTAGTACCAACGTTTTGAAAGGCGACGCTACTACTATAGTTTCGTGCCGGAATGCTTGTAGCGCACGGTTGACTCTGTCCTGATACTGCGGTCGGAAATGCGGAATTGTAGCTAACAATTGGCGTACACCCATAGTTTATGGAAGAGACTTGTGGTACGCTTGTAATTACTATGCTAACCTGCAATATTGGCCTACTACTTGAGGGAAATGTGACGGCATAATCACCACATCCTGATGCCCTACTCCCACTTATTGGTACTTTATTAATTCGTGGGTAATGACTACTGGACATAGGGTGAATTTCTATATTCGGAGGCGGAGCACTACTGTTGACTTTCCGCAGACCATCCATCGTAGCTGAAGTGTCGATCCCGACAGTAGAATTGCATCTCGTAAGCAAGGAGGAACTTACCAGAGGCCGTTGGGGAACGTCGAATGTGATTTCGGTGCGTGATACGAAGCTGCCGTCTGACCTCACTCGAATCGGAATTTGAGGTACCATCGTTGCCAATGAACGCTTCACGCTTCTGGAACCATCCACTGAATATGGCGTGGAAGTTGACGCTGGATCCGAAGTTACTATGGCGGGAACGTTTGACGTGATCGGACTTGATGTGATGGGAGCTGGAATTGTAGACTGTTGAACTGCTTCTGTGGCTACGACCGTTGACTTCATGCTACTGGGGGGCACTACTGTCACTTGCTGTGCTGTGCTGTCTTCCTGTCTGCTAAGCCACGACCGAACCTTCTCTCGACTAGTTCGACTGCTCAGTCTTGATTTCCTACTGGCTCCTTCTTCCGCATCATCCGCTTCGGTCATGAGCAGATCGTACTTCTGCCTCAAAAACCGCTCCTCCTCTTCGGCTAGCTTGTTTCGCGCTACTGCTTGAGCCGCCTGTTCCTCAAGGATTCTCCTCATCCACAACGCTTTCTGCTCTTCAATCATCTGCAGGCTTAGCTCTACTCGGGTCGAGCGTTTACTCATAGACGAACGACTGACGGACGTCCTCGAATGGGAAACAACATCATCTTCCAGCGATCGGCATCGATCACACTTCCAAGTGCGATCCGGATCGGCGATGGAGTCCGTAACACCCACGCAGTCGAAGTGCACCCACGTCTTACACATATCGCATCCAACGAGATGGTTTGCTGTGTCCAGCCGATCGCATTTGGCACAGTGTTTTGCATTACTTTCGCTCATTTTTCGGTTCGACTAGAACCTCCAGAAAATCTTTGAAGATTGTTCGGATAGATTTTCGGGCAGACGTAAACACGTTTTGATAGCAGCATAAGCAGCTTCAAAGCTGTAATTGTATATTTGTTTTAGTTTTAATGGATTTTAAATAAAGGTTTTCACTTACATTTTCGTGTTGTTTTTCCTGTTCAAACCCGAAACTCTATATGAACGTGAATTATCGCTAGCAACAAATTGCCCTAGGTTTAATAAATATTGATTAGGTTTTACAAATTTCGCATGTTAGGATAAGTTTAATTAAGTACTTACTCTTAGGTTAGTAATATTAAGCAATTGGTATAAATCCAGCCGTACTAATGGTAGAACCAACAATCAATACGAAACTAACGATTTTAAATTGGCTCACCACTTTAGAAGCCTATTGGTCCCAAGCAAACGATTAACGTACCCTATTCTAGTCGACATTCTAGTACTACGCAATGTTTGTTTTGATTCGCTATGAAAGTTTGACAGATAAAATGAGGGGTTATTGGTTTTTCGTATGTTTCGAGGGGTGATCGATTAGCTTGGGACCAAAGAGAGTACCAGAGCTGAGCCAAAAAGTTGAGCACGTTATTTCGGGACCTTCTAGTCTTAGAGTAGAAGGTAGAACTAGTTATCTATAATAAATTTAGGGTTAGGATTTTCTTTGCGTAAATAGGCAATAAATGTATATTATTTTACCTAGGTTGATAATTTCATTAAATTCACTTGACAATAGCTCACCAAATCTAGATTTACAAGCTTTAGGTAGGATTTACTTATTATTATATTCAATTTTATTGAAAGAATTTACTCTCGAATTTACTCCACTTTCATGATCACATTGTTGTTTTTTGCTGTAAGTGACGTTTGAGTGACACGTCACCGGCTATGCTCTGTTTGACGTTTGCTGGTTGCCAGATCTTGGGAGGTACGGAACTCACCTCGCTACCAATGAGCCTGCCCTGTGGTATCGTAACAGTACCTAATTAGGTTCTGTAGCGTGACGTCACGAATGAACTCAGTGTTAATCGGCTGAACCTTTTTGACAGTTCAGTGGTACTGTTTACAAGCACTTAGTCGTTTTTTCTAAAAAA